AAAAAAGAAAAAGAAAGAAAACGAAGAAACGGAGAAAAAGAACTACGGAAAGACGCAAGGACACAAGTGTCTTGCCCCTTAGATTTATCCCTTGAGAACCCTGGAGTTGCCCTTCACCCAGTGGTCACCCCTACCAGTAGTCACTGAGATTAGCACACCGTGCCCACAGTCCAGGAGTCTCCATCCCACCCCACCACCCCATCCAAAGGGCCACAGTCCCCTTCCCCACCACCTGCCAGGCTTACCCCTAGCCCAGCAGTGGAGACCCTAACCCAGGCGTCCAAGACTTCCAGCAGAGTCTGTGCTGAGCAGGGGCGGAGCAGGGGCTGCAGGGGAGGGGAAGGTGCCCCAGTTCCCAGGCAGCTCTTAAAGAGACCAAGAAGATTTAGCCAGGGGCAGCTTAGCGGGTGAGTGGAGAGGAGAATAGATGGTGGGGAGAAGACTGGCTTTGCCAAAGGTTGGAGAGCAGGAGTGTGGCCCAATACCTCCCCCACCTTCCGGGGAAGCCCTGTGTCCTCTACTTAGCCTGTCCCTCACCCTGTGAAACCCCATGCCGGCTACCCAGTTTGGTCTCCCACCTCTCACACATCCTGGTCCATGTTCCCCTTGGGCCCCTGCCCACTTCCTCCCCCTCTCCCATCTTCATGCCACCTCAGTCTCCAGTGAGAGCTGCCAGCTGGCACTGACTGGTACTAGGCCCTGAGAATCAGCCTAAGAAGGAGAAAGGACCTGAAGCCTGGCCCCTTCTGGGGAGGGGCTAACCTGGAAGGTCAACCTGGAGGGTGGGTGAGCAGCAGAGGCACTGGCCCCTGCCAACGGCCCCAGAGCTCTGGAGAGAGAGAGTCTGGGCTGTGGTGTGGACAGAAGATGGCCTGGACAGTTACCAGCCATGGGCCATGGGGGCATACAAGCACACACAGAGAAGGATAAGGAGGCAGAAAGACAGAGAGCAGAAATCTTCAGTTTTCTATCACTCTTCTGTTCACACCCTTACTGGTTGCCCGGGGTCTGTGGAATCTGTGGCAGGCCCCCTGGCAGGTCACCTCAGCCCCTACGTCCTGACAGCAGGAAGGCCCTAGCCAGCCCCCGCCTGCACCCTGCCTTTCTGCAGGTTGCTGTTCACACTGTCTCCCACCTGGAATAGAGCTGCTTCTCATCCCTACTGGAGAGATTTGTCCTGTCCTTCATACTCATGCCAAGAGAACCCTCCTCCAGAAACTCCCTGGGGTTTTTACCCTACGCTACAGAGTCAACACAGTATGTTCAGGGAATCAGGAGTTCTGGGTGATTTCTGGTAAACCTCTTTCCTCACACGCTCCCAGTTGCCTCACTTATTGTAGGAATCATAAGCCAGACATGGCGGTACATGGCCGTAAGTAACCTCAGCTATTCAGGAGGCTAAGGAAGAAGGATCGTAAGTTCAAGTGCAGCCTAGAAAATTTAGTGACTTAGCCAGATCATATCTCAGAATAAAAAATTAGCTCAGTACAACAGCCATGGGTTCAATCCTCAATACTGCAAAAATAAAACAAAATATTTTAAAAATTAAGAAAGAACAGCAACAACCTGCCCACTAGTGGTGACAGAACAAACTAGTTCCCCTTTTTGGAAGTCATTTTTAGACTCACACCAGCAAGGCCATCTGACTCTGCAATTCCTTTAGGTATTTAGAAAGCTCTGCTGTGCAGTGAGGTGCTGCACTAGGTTCTGGGGATGCATCACAAATAGGACAGATGAAAATACTCACTCTAGGGTGCATATGTTTCATGGGGAACAGAAAATGCATACACATGAAATATGTTCGATGGTATTGCATGCTCTGGAGAAAAACAAAGTGAGAGTAGTTCTGCTGTGCTAGGATTCCAGATGTAGAGGATACTTTTTTTTTTATTGCTACCGGGGATCAAACTCATGACCACCTGCTTGTAAGGCAGGTGTGTATGCCGCTGAGCTAAATCCCCAGCCCGACATTATTTTATTTATTTATTTATTTATTTATTTATTTATTTATTTATTTATTTTGGTACCAAGAGTTGAACTCAGAACCTCACACTTGCCAGGCAGGTGCTGTGCTGTCCAGCTATATCCCTGGATGATATAGTTATTTTATAAAATTTAATCAGAGAGGCTTTGCTGACCAATGACATTTCAATATAGACTACAGAAAGTGAGGAGACAAGGCATGTGGATCTTTGATTGACAAAGTGATCCAGGCAGGGAGGACAATGAGTCAAATGTCCTAGGGCAGGCAAGCACTTGGTGTGGTCTAAGCACAACCGGACAGTCACTGGGGCTGGAGTGGTGACAGATAAGGTGTCAGTAGTGGGAGGGGGAGTTCATGCCTGGCTTTGCCTGTCATTGTGAACAGTTTCATTCTTACGCTGGACAGTTTGGAAGGCTGTGTGTTGAGCAGAAAGCTGAACTATTAAAGGATCACTGTGTAGAGAACAAACTCTGCAATGCTGGGGTAGAAGGCCAGTCAGGACACTAATAGCATGATGGCCCAGATGATAGTCACGGGTGAAAACGGACTAGATTCCACATGTGTCATAAAGCTTTCAATAAATCACTAGATCTAGGAGTGGTAGCATGCACTCTTTGTCACAGCTGTTCAAGGCACTGAGGCAAGAAGATCATTTGAGCCTTAGAGTAAGGCTAGCATGGGCAGCATAAGAAGTATCTCAATAATAGTAATCTCGATAGTAGTATCTCACACACAATTATCTGCCTGGTAAGCACTAGGTCGTGAGTTCGATCCCCAGGACCCCCCTCCCCAAATAGTATCGCAATCATCATCACTATCCTGAGTGCTCAAGTAGAAAGTGCATCTTCCTGGCTTAATCTCCTACAAAGAAAAAAATTTTCTTAATAAATCTTTGAATAAATTTAAATTCAATTTTAATCCAGATAGGATTTGCTAAGGATTGACTGTGGGTACAGGAAGGTGAAGAGAGCTCAGGACAACTCCAGAGCTTTTGGGTCAGGAAAACGAAAAGAAGAGGGACAGGTCATCTGCTGATGTGCTCTGCTGAGCAGAGCAGCCGGGTGGAGCTGGGGTGTCACTTCAGGACCTGCTAACTCGGCCGTTCGACCTTCACATGGGGATCTGAGGTTGCAACAAAGAAATAGGCTGCACCTAGGACCTTGGCGGTCAGTACCGCAGGCAGTGTGCAAGGTCGCTGGTTGGACAAGCCTCTAGTGCCTTGAGCACAACCCAACCAGAAATGGCCCTGCGGTTTCGTTCTGAGGCCCGGGAATGAGAAGCGCAAGAATGAGTAAAGTAGACCTAGAAAGATGAGTCAGCCACAGTGACAAACGCCGGCAAGTCAGTTGGAGACTGAGAATTGGTCGCCAAGTAAGCAATGCGCAGGGAACTGGAGGAGACCTGGTGCCGAGTCTCTGAGCTTGATGCAGCTCAGAGAAAAGTCTGCAGAGCGGGGAGTGGTGGGGTGTTTGCATCTCCAGTTTTACTATAAAGTATATGCGTAAATAATGAAAAAAAAAATATGTTCAAACAATCCCCAGCTGTCTGCACAGCGCCGAATGGGCGGGGTAGTGGGGGGAGGTTAGGGGGAAATCACGTGAGCGATCACGTGCGCGGATGCAGTAGCGGTACGTTCCCGGCAAGGCCGGCTCAGGGTTTGTATCTGCTCACTTGTCTCATGGTCCTGGCTCCCTTCCTCTAGAGCCGGACACCTGGCCCTCGGTCCTGGTATCTCCCAGCCCCAGAAGAGTGCACCTTCCTTGGTCCTCAGCCCGTGGGGCTCCGGACTCAGCGCGTAGCGGGAGCTCCGCCAGGATGCACGCACGCACGCCTAGCTGCCTTCTGGCGCCCCCAGGTGTTCGGCACAGGAAGTGGACGTTTACGTTCTGCCTTACAGGACTCAGCTGTTGGCTGCAAACCTCTTAGAGGTTTGGCCTTGGACTTCTCTGAAACTGTTCGCCCCTGGCAGGAACCGCTACCTGTAGGGCCACTTCCTTCTCGTAGCATTTCTTCTTCCAGAGGGCTCAGGCCAAGAAAATCGAGGATTTTTAGTCAGACTTGAGACCTTTCTTCATTATTTTGCTTTTCCCAACATCCACATGCATCCACCCAGCAGCCACATGCTCCTTTTTCTCCATAATTTATGATTTGCAGTGCTGGGGACCAAACCTAGGGCAAAAGCTCTACCACTGCGCCATACCCAAGCCCTCTCACTTGGGGTAGGGATGGGGAACTCCTTTGCCCAGAAAGTAAACTTATGTTTTCATCATGCATGGTTTTTGTTTAGAGAGAAGTGTGATGTCACAAGAGCAATGCTCTATAGCCAGATGGTTGGGATCTCTGCCACCCACTTTGTGTCCTTGGACCTCCAACTCCAGGTAAAGGGGACAAGAGCTACCTTTCAGGACAGTCTAAGGTGAAATGAGACAGTATAGAACCACGGTGGGGAAGAGCTCGGTCACCACAGCTCCCTGTGTGGGTCCCTTCCCATAGGCTCATTCTCCCCATCATAAGCCACTAGCTTGGCCTCACAGTCACTTTATGCCAGCTGGAGTGGAGATTCCCTGAGGACACTGGGTGTATTGTCTTGCTCATTTCCTTGTCCCCCAAACTGACCACAATGTGGTACAAAGACACATTAACTGCTTGTGGGCAAGACCAGCCCTATCCAGCTTTCTTTCCTTTCCTTTCGTCTTTGCTGCCAATTACTGAGATGTCCAGGGCCCTATTGGGTGAGTGATCAGTGTTGCAGGAAGGTGGTTAGGTAGGAAATGTTTTACTTCTGGGGGGTGTGTGGATACCCACTTGCTGGGAGGACATCCAGAGGGTTATCATAGCCCGAGTGCCCAGACATTTGCTTTGGGTGCTCGTAGGGCTCCATCTTACCCTGTGCCCTTAGAGCAGGGAGAGGCTGCAGCAACGAGCATGAGAAGGTGGCCACCTTGGGGCATTTGTGTACTTGTGCCCCTGAGAACACGGTGACGCCCACCAACAAAAACACCACAGCAGCCAGGGATAGAAACAACTAGTGTATTGATTCGGGGGGAGGGAAGGGGTGCAAGATGGGAAGCAGGGTGGCAAGGGGCACCTTAGTGTTTGCCAGTAAGTATGACCACACTCTACCACCTCGCCTTCCTCCTTTATTTGGCTCTTATCCTTTCCAGAGTCCCCCTCTCCCTCCTCTTTGCACCCCACTTGACCCTGACCTCCAGTGACTAGACAGAACGCAGCCAGGCTCTGAAGCTGGGAGAAGGCAGGCTCAAAGGATCTGCCTCCCCTCTTCTTCCACCTTGCACCTCATTCCCATCTCTTGTCTAAGGGAAATATACAAAAGCAAGCACAGCTGGAACCTGGGAGAAGGGACTCACCCCAGGGCTAGGATGGGGGTGAGGGGGGAATGGAGGCAGGGCAGGCACTGAAGCCTCAGCCCACTTAGTGGAACCCGTGGGGGGGCCTAGCTTGGCACTCCCCTCTCTCAAGCTGGCCTGGCAGCTGAAGATTCCATGCCTGCCTCTCAGGCACCATGTCATGGGGTCCCCGGGGTGAGGGAACAGCCAGGATAGCAAAGAAGACACTAGTAAGTCTGTGAAAACAGCCCTTCCCCTTAGCTCCTAGAGGAAGCCCTCTTTGATATTTAAGGCAGATATAGAGTTTCCTGGAAGCAGGGAAAGGAAGGGCGGGGGAATTAGGATTGAGCTGGAGACTTTTTTTGTTTTTGCTTATGTTTTTCCTTCAGTATAAAACCACTGTAGAAAATAACTTCTCTTAGAAAAAAATACAGAAAAAGACAAAAATGAAAACAAAAAAACCAAAGTGGGTATTTCTCTTTGGCTTCAAGCCTGCTCCCATCAGGTGCAGGGCAAGGGGTAGGCATGAGGTGAAGAGGAAGCAGACAGCCTCCACCCTCACCCCTGCCTGGCAGGTCCCACATTACATGATGCTGCAGTTCTGGGGGCTCTAAGAGAGAAGAGAGGGGAACAGTGTGAGTAGAGTGGCTAGACTGGGCCTGTCTCTCCCTGACCTGCAGCAGAGAGGTGTTGTTGCCCCCACCCCTTGCCCTCTAGCTTTGCCCTCAAGTCTGGGGCTCAGACAGGAGGGGCAGGAAGCAGGAGTGGACTGTTTAGGACCCAGGCTGCAGGGGAGAGGCTCCTATTCCTCCGGGATGCGGAAGAGAAGGCTCCATCTTCTCCAGGGCCACCTTATCCTAACCGTCAATGACCAAGATTCTGTCTGTAGGGATGCAGGCAGAGGGGTGACTCACCTGGGTTCGAGCACGGGAGTTGCCCAGGAGGTAGGAGCGGGTGACTAGGTTGTCCCCGAAGCTGCCACCCCCACTGCCCCCCACACTGCGGTAGCTGCGAGTGACTGTGACACTGGAGGCAGAAGAGCCGGAGGAGATGGATCCGCCCAGCTGGGCTGCCGAGCTGCTGGCAGATGCCTTGTCGGCCGGCTGCCCGCATGTCCCGCACAGCACGGTGCGTGAGCGCAGGTTGTACTCAGCGGGGTCCCCCGAGCTGCTGCAGTGAGAGCCCTGGGGAGGGAGACAAGGCTCAGGCGGGACGGCGAGTCTGGGACCAACTGCTCAGATGCCCAGGCTGTGCTGGACACACAGGCTCAGGCTCCAGTCAGCAGGTGAGAAGGTGGGGTTCTGTGCCCTGGAGCCCTGGAGCCAGAGGGCAAGAGGGGCTTGAAGGCCAGAGGTTAGGAAGAAGGACATGCATGAAAGGGTGAAAGGGTCAGAGGGACATGGGGACAGACAGGTGTGGCTTGGACTCTGTTTTAAATTCTATGAGCTTGAAAGGAAATGATGATGCGTAGGGAAAGAACAAGCTGATAGGGCAGCAGACATGCAGCAAAATTAATTTGGGAGGGGACAGGAATAAGAGAAAACATTCTTGCAGGAGAAATGAGGGCAATAAAAGGACATGCATGTGGTAAGACCAGAAGAAGACAAGAAAGGGGGAGAGAGGCAGGGCTTGAGCACCCCACCTCTGTCCTCCATTCCCTGCCCAGGAGACAAATCCAGACCCTTATGGCCTGCTCCCGTGGGAGCTCCATGGCACCAGGAAGTTCCCACTCCCTTCCTTACCAGAGTAGGGTGCCCAGACACCTGGGTTCCCTGTTCCAGGTAGAGGGAGGAGAGAGAAGAAAGCCAGGGCAGCGAGTGAAGTTCCAAAACATTCTTTAATGAAAAGACTTTGGCATGGGAGGCGGGGAGAGAAGCTGTCCCGGGCCTGGCCGGGTTGCCTGTGCAGGCTGGCCCTCAGCGGCGGCTGCCACTCACGTGGTGGTGATGGAGCAGGTCATCTCCATCCTCATCCTCGTCGTCCTCCACTACAGTCACTGAGCGCACCAGCTTGCGCATGGCCACCTCCTACAGACATGGAACCAGGCCAAAAGGTCAAAGAAGAGAGCAGGTTACAGCCTGACTACCTGCAGGGCCATCTGGAACCTTCTGGTGTCCTACCCTGTGCTACTATTAGCAATGATGAACTTGCTCTACCCACAGAGACACTGCCAATTCCCTTAAGAAGGAGCATGGCACGTGGCTCTGCCTCAACAGGCCTCCAGGCTGGCTTCCCTGAATCAGCTTTGTTGAGTTAGGGACAGCTGCTCCCAGTCTGGTCACAGGGATAACCTTGGGGAGTTGGAGGGGGGAACAGCCTATTCACCTCGCCAGTGGAGTTGATGAGAGCCGTGCGCAAGCTGTTACCACAGCCCCAGGTGTTCTGGGCCTTCCACACCAGGTCGGTAGGGGGGCTGTGGGTAGCCCCAGCTCCTGAAGCCCAGATCTGGGGAAAGAGGATTAGAGAAGAATGCTTACTCTAGTGCTGCCATCCTCAGGGTATGCTGTTCCCACCTAAGTACCCCGAAACTCACCGTCACAACCTGCCCAGCCTTCAGGGTAAACTTAGGTGGGAAGCGATAGGTCAGCAAGGGGTCATCTCCATTCTGGCGCTTGATCTGCCAGTTGCCCATGGACTGGTCCTGCCAGGAGGGGAGGGAAAGAAGGAGACTCAGATGGACTCTTCGTGCATCTCACTCTCGGATCCAGGCTGCCCAGGGCAGAGGGGGACACCTGCCATTCCAGATATGTGAGAGGCTGAGCTGGAGCCCAGCTGAGCTTGCAACCCAGCAAGTGAGGCCCAGGCAGGCTGGCCACTGCTTACACCCTGAGGCTTATTCCTCCCTCCACTCCCCAGCCATCAGCACTCTGCTAGCCTCTGGTTTATCTTTCCTCTTTACCTCTTCCCAGTAACTCACTTAAGACCCACTTTTATTTGGAAGTACTGGGGCCTTTGCACTGGAGCTATATCCCCAGCCCTTTTTTCATTTTTTGAGACAGAATCTCACTAAGTTGCCAAGGCTGGGCTCACATCTGGCAATCCTCCTGCCTCAGCCTCAGAGCAATGGGATTACAAAGCATGCACTGCCACACCTGGCACTTAAGGCCTGCTCCTTGTTCCTGTGTTACAAATCAGGAAACTGATGCTCTCCAAGGTTAAACACTTGCCCAAGGTTAAACAACTTGCTCATAGCCCCTGAGTCCAGCAGCCAGGGCTGGAGCTCGGCTGTGTCCCCTCAGACCCCATCTGGCAGCCTACCTCGTTGGACTTGTTGCGCAGCCGCACAAACTTGCCCTCCTCATCCACTTCCTCCACAGCCACACGCCCACTGGTGCGAGCATGCTGAGAGAAGCTGCTGCGGCTCTCAGTGGCCTCCAGCTTGCGCTTTTTGGTGATGCTGCCCCCTGAGCCATGCGTCTGGGATGAGTGGGAAGAGGTGCGGCCTCGGCTACGCTGCTGCGAGGTGGGGCTAGGGGACAGGCGGAGCCTGGGGAGGGGAGGGGAGGAGAAGGCTGGGTCAAGACCACTGCAGGTAGAGGCTACTGCTAGCATTTCCCACCTCCTCCCAGGGTGCCCACCTCTCCTCCTCGCCCTCCAGGAGCTTGCGGTAGGCATGGATCTCCATGTCCAGAGCCAATTTGATGTCCAGCAGCTCCTGGTACTCATCCAGCTGCTGCTGCATCCTCGCTCGCATGTCTGCCATCTCCCGCTCCTTATCTGCCAGCAGCCGCCGGCTGGTGTCCCGCTCACGGGCCAGTGAATCCTCCAGATCCCGAAGCTTTGCCTCCTTGGCAGCCAGCTGGGGAGGAGGAAGTAGAATCTGGTGAGCTCACAAAGGCATGGATACTGGAGGCCATGGATAAAGTGGAGGACTCTGAGGACCTGTCCCAGCATCTGCAGGCTTCCACCGGAGGCCAAGGTGGACTCTAATGTGGCTGTGGCCGGCAACCAGGAAGCAGCAGCAGCCAGAATCTAACTAAAATCCCTTGTTCTCAGGCCAGACCCCATTTTCTCCTGTCCCAAATGGCATAGCCCTCGAGAAAACTCCTGATGCTTCTACCATGGAACCCTGCAGAGGGTGGTGACAGATCTGAGTTACAGAGAACAGTGATCTAATTTCCAAATAGGAAAAATGGACCTGAGAAGGAAGGCATGGAAAGAGGGAGGACTACTACGGTAGGCAGGTCATCTGACCCCAGATCCCAGCCCATTTCCCCAGTCTGGGCCCCCATTCTATGCTTTTCCTCTTCCCTAGGCAGCCCAGACTGGTGGCTGCTGGTACATAGGGCATCACCTGCTTCTGCAGCTGGCTGAGCTGGGCTGACAGGCTGTCAATGCGGATCCGAGACTGCTGTAGCTCCTCATGTGCAGCCCCCACCAAGTTGCTGTTCCTCTCAGCAGACTGCCTGGCATTATCCAGCTGCAGGGAATGTACAAGGTTAGAACTGCAGAGGCAGGGTAGGACAGTGGAGGACCACCCTGAGGTCCTTGCCACCACTGGCTCTCCCCCAAGGCAGGGCTAAGGCTGCTGGGGCAGTGGGTGCAAAAGGCCCTAGGGAAGAGTGGGCACCTTAGCAGAATACGTCTTCTCCAGCTCCTTCTTGTACTGCTCCACCTGGTCCTCGTGCTGGGCCCGCAGCTCCTGCAGGGCATCAGCCAGACGGCTCTCAAATTCTCGTTGTTTCCCATTATCAATCTCCACCAGCCGTGTCTCATGGCGGCGCTTGGTCTCACGCAGTTCCTGGAATAACCGGTTAGAGCAGGGATACACGGACAAAAATCAGAAGAAGTTTCTTACAGGGTATGACCCAAAAGGCTAAGCTCCCCACCCTACCCCCAATCCGTAAGTCCACTTTAACCCAATAGCTGGGTTCTGGCCACCCTCCATGCCTATCTACTAGTACAGGGACTCAAGCAGGTAAGCACTGTATACAGTGGGTCCCCTGACCCCAAGATCTGCATCTTCACAACCCAGCTTCAATGCAATGCTCAGTGCCTACCTCGCTATAGATGTTCTTCTGGAAATCCAGTTCTTCCTTCAGGGTCTGCAGCCTGTTCTCAGCATCCACCCGCCGCAGCATCTCATCCTGAAGTTGCTTCTTGGCCTCACCCAAGGCTGCCTCAAGCTAAGAGGAAGCAGGCAGAGGTCAGGGGCAGGAGGAAGACTGAGAGAAGCTGGGCAGTGCTATTCCCAAGCCTCTTTTACATGTGGAGAAGAGCCAGGAGCAGTGAGAGCCCTGGGTGCCCATAGAAGTAAGGACATTCAGAGCTGGGGATTTAGCTCAGCGGCATAAGCACCTGCCTTGCAAGCAGGCAGTCATGAGTTCGATCCCTGGTACCAATAAAAAGAAAAAAGAAAAAAAAAAAAGTGTAAAAAAAAAGAAGTAAGGACATTCACCTGTTCACAGTAACTACTCTGGGTAGGTACTATGCCGTGAACTCAAAGATAAATTCCTCCAGCACCACGGGATCCCTGCTCTCTGGCACAATACAGCAGCTGCCAAAAAGCAGATCTGTACAAAGCAGAGAGGAAGCAGGAGGGAAGGAACCAAAATGTGCCTGGTGGCTGGAGAGTCTGGGAAGGGATCCAAGAGGCTGACACTTGGGGACACGTTAGTGGAGCCTGTGGAAGGGGCTCAGTGTAAGGCTGAGGAAGGAGGATCACAAGTTCAACCCTAGTCTGGGAAATTTAGCAATTTAGTATGACTCTGTCTCAAAAAAAAAAAATTATATATATAGGCTAAGAATATAGTTCAGTGCAAAGGCCTTAGGTTCAATCCCTGGTATGGGAGAAAAAAAAGCTTCTGAAAAAGTCTGAGCAGGGAAGACCCTTGCTTTTGTTTGTTTGTTACTAGGGATGGAACCTGGAGCCTTCACACTGAGCTACATCCCCAGTCTTTTTCTTTTTTCTTCCTTTCTTTTTTTTTGAGACAAGGTCTCACTATGTAGTTCAGGCTGGTCTTGAGCTCTCTATGTAGCCATGCTATGTAGCCCTCGAACTTACAGGGATCCTCCTGCTTCAGCCTGCTGAGTGCTGGGATCCCAGGCATGTGTGACCATGCCCGGCTTATTTATTTATTTAGAGATGGAATGTCTCCATGTACCTCAGGCTGGCCTTAAACTCATGGCAATCCTCCAACCTCAGCCTCCCCATACTAGGATTACAGGCCACCCCACCCAGCATACATTTTAGAATGAGCAGGCGATCAGCACACCCAACCAGGAGGGGATGAGGGAGGTGGGCTGGAGGCCAGACCCTTTCTTGGTGTACTCTTGACCTTCTCCTGGATTCTCCTTGGTGTGGTGGAGTATGGTGGAGGTCTGTGAAGAGTGCCTAGGATGGGAGACTGCCCACCAACTGGTCTGGCCTGCTGTGAGCAGAGGAGGCTGTGAAACTGAGAATGAGCTGCCTTCTTCAGCTGATTCTGGGCCCTCTCTTGTAAGATGAGAAAGCAGCAGCAGAGAGGGCAGCGATGAGTGTTCTTAAAGTGCAGGCCACTATATGATTACTTGGGCTCATATGTGATTAGCCATCAGAGCCCTGTTACAGCTGCAGCAACAGCTATTCCTCTTTTCTTTCTTCCAGAGAGGGCAAAAGCTGCCCAGGGGAGGGATCCTGGGCTAGTCACAGCTCACAGCAAAGTTAAACGGACACTGTTTTTGGATTACTTGAAATTCCCTAAGCAGCTAAAGGAGGCTGAAACATGATTTGGATGAGCAGAAATGCCAGGACAAGTGAAGAGCCCTGGATCTAAAAGGAGGGCAAACCAGGCACAGCGGAGGGCAGGAGGGGAGAGGAGCGAGTGCACAGCTGGTGAGGTGGGTTACAGTGGGTCTTGAGGGCACCTACCTTGGCAACCTGCCCCCGAAGGTCGTGCAGCTCACTCTCCAGGGTGCGCTTCTCACTGAGAGCAGTGCTTAGTGCAGCCTCCTTGGAGTTGAGCAGTGCTTCCAGGTCCTTGAGCCGGGCCTGGGCAGCCATCAAGTCACCCTCTTTTTTTGTATTGCTAAAGAAGAAAGGGTTTCAGAAGTCAGCTGTGCCTCCAGCTGCCAGGAGGGGGCGTCCTGGTTTTAGGTTTGTTTGCATCTGCCTACTCCGATTGAGCTCCCACCTCCCCCCTCAGGTCCCCCAAACCCCCTTCCTGCTTCTCCACCCTTCCCATGACTCAGGGCTCAGGAACGTGCCTAGGGCTAAGGGTGAAGCTAGATCCCATGATATCAATGCTTTTCCCTCTCCCCTCCCAAAAGACACAGGGGCACCTTTGTCTCTCACCCTTCCCACACAGGCCCTAACCTTCTCCTCCCTGGACTCCACCCACTTGCCTTTCAGCTGAGCTTCCCTCCCTCAGAGGAGCCAGAGGACTAGCTAGGCTCCGTGGCCTGGAGTCACATGCCCCTACTGCTTCTCTGTTTGAGCCCCAAAATGATGGCCCCTCTCCGGATCCCTTTTATAGCATGGAGTACTAGGGAAGGAAAGTCTGGTTAAAGGTCAAAGAGAGACCTGGGACAAGGGCAATGAGGTGGTAGTATTGACCCTTCCCTCTTTCAGGACTACTGTGGTTTCCTGACCCAGGGAGAGCAGAAGGGTCCCCACCTCTTTCCTATCCCTGAGAAAACACTGAGTCTCACCATCAGCCCAAGCCTTAACATCTGGCTCCAGATGTGGCTCCCTGACCTCCAAGTCCACCTGGACTCCTAGCTGGAGCCTCCCTGCTCCTCAAACTGGCAAAACTGTTACTGTACCTAACTTCCCAGAGCGATGCTGCCCTCCCGCGCTTTGGCGGGCCCCTGGTCATTTCTGTCAGGGAACTGGAGAAAGAGAGGTCCAATTTCCTTACAGCCTCCAGGGAAGCCAAGAACTGTCCAGGCTGACATTACACTTGCTTCACAAGAATAAGCAGAGAGCAAGCTGTAGACCCAGGGAGTGGCAGAAAAAGATCCCAGGGCCTTGTCCCAGATGCTGTCTGCAACCTTTCAGTTCCCATATACAAACTCAGTGTGGCAGACAGAAAAAAACTAAACTCAGGCAGGCGGGAAAAGCCTACCCCAGGGAGAAAGAGGTAACACAGTTGTGCCAACATTTTCCTTCTGCCACAAAAGCCCTCAGCTCCATGAGGACAGGGAGAGAGCCTACACTGCTGGAAGCTCAGGAGGGAGGAGACACTTAACAAGGAACACACTTCCAACTTGGCCTCCACTATGCTGGGGAGAGGACAGAGGGACACCCCAGGGAGCAGGGGAAGGGACAGAACAAATTGTCTAATGCAACAGTGTGTCCTACACAAAAGAGGCCCTTCCACAACCTTGGGATTGTCTCCCTCCTCTGTCTCAGCCGAAATAGCTAAAAATAAAGTCAAACCCCAGCTCAGGTTTTGGCTGCCATCCGGCCCAGCCCCTGGCTGGGAGTACAGCCCCAACTTTCCATGACTTCAGAGCTGTTCTGAAGCTGAGGCAGCTGCAGGGGGAGGGAGGAAAATGAAGAAAAACTGCTGGTAAAGTGAAGCGAGGAGGCAGACATAGACTCCAGGCTCTTTGGGCCCCTTCCAAGGCTGGCATGTGCTGGCCAGAAGAGGCCTCTCTCCCCTGCAGGCCAACTGCAGTAGCTGGCCACATGTGGCGCCTCCCTGAATTTAAAGAATTACTCCTTGGCTCAGCCACCTCCTTTTACAGATAAGGAATGGGAGGTGCAGAGGAAGGTGGGTGGTCCTGCAAGCTGGCTAATGGTCTGAGACTGCTCCCCCCACCTTCCTTAATGCCTCCCAGACCAGACCACAAGGCTCTGTGAGTAGACCCTGCGCCACAAGATGCCCCAGAAGGGCAGCCTGAGCTAAGAGACAGAAAGGTGTGCAGGGTATTTTCAGCTCACATCCTGAGAACATCTCTTCCCTAGTCTTATCTCCCTTGCCTCCTTGGACACCAGAGAAGTAGTCGCTCCTCAGGAAACAACCCTTCCTTGGCACTGCCCAACAGACACTGAGGAAGACAGATGCTGTCCTCTGGTAGCCGATGATCTGACACGCACAGGAGTTTAACTGTTTTGGAACTGTTTTGTTTTGTTTTCACTGCAACCTCTTCCTGTTGCTCCCAAAGGTGGGATGTCATGGTAATAATAATAATATACAGTCATGGGTGGGAGGGTATTGTTCAATTGTAGAGCCCTTGTCTAGATGTGCTAGGCTCTGGGTTCTAATCACCAGCACTGCTAATATATATATATATATATATATATATATATATGTCATCAGTCTCTTAATGACAGTTTACATTTGAGAGGCTGAAAATTTCATTGTGCAAACATTCTAGTGTACTTATGCTATGCTGTCACTAGACAATATAATCTTTTTGGGGTTTTTTTGGTAGCAGAGATTGAACTCACAACCTCATCCTTGCCAGGCAGGTGCTGTACCGCTGAGCTACATCCCCAGTCCTAGACCATAATCTTTTGAAACAGGGAGAGAACTATCTTTCATATATATGGTCTGTCCTTGATTAAAACATTATATGGGGGACACAACTAATAGCAAACACACAACTTATTACATATAAGGCACCGCTCTAAGTATTAGTGTCAATTCACTGAAACTTCATAGCTATCCTCTGAGAAAGATGCAATTACTGTTCTTACGGAAACTGAGGCAGAGAGGTCCTATAGAAATAGATAGCAGACCTAGAAAAGGATGATGTACCAGCACTTACCATGATATGTTAATTCTTTTTCTTTTTTTTTTTTTTTTTTTTTTTGGTCTTTTTTTATCAATACTGGGGATCGAACTCACGACTGCCTGCTTGCAAGGCAGGCGCTTATGCTGCTGAGCTAAATCCCCAGCCCTGATATGCTGACTTCTAAATAAATTAGGTTTTGTCTTTTCCCCTCTGGAGGTGCTAGGTGCTAGGGATTGGTCCTGGGTCCTCTTGCTTGCTAGGCAGGTGCACTATCACTGACCACACCACATACCCACCACTTCCTGCAGGCTTCATTAGCACTGCAGAGAGGTGATTAAAACTAAGTCACATCCTGAAGATGAAAGAAACCATCTCAGAGCTCAGAGGGAAGCAGGGAAGTGCCTCTGCGGTTTTCTTAGTTAGGCATGGGGAGCTCCCATCTGTGGGGAAGAAGCCACTACTACCCATGGCCCATGACTCAGACCTTGGGAGCACCAATCACCATTTCCTTTCTAGAAGACACTGTAGACTGAGCAGGGACCACAGCAGACACTGACCAGGCATTCAGCCCCTAGAAGCCCTACAGGCCCAGGCCCCAGCCGCCCAGGGATGGCCTAGGAAGGCAAGGCACGGGCTGAGCACTGTGGCTGGGAAGCTGAGTTGACTTTGAGGAAAGGGTGAGGCAGGCCAGGAGCTGGGGAGGGTAGGTGCCTGGCCTCCCCAGGTGACTCATGCCCAGGCAGACAATACCAGGGCAGGGGTTGGGAAATCCTCTAGTGCTCACAGGGGAGATCTTGGCTTCCCAAATCCTGCCCTAGGCCCGGCGCCATGCTGGTTGGGCCAGTTCTTCCCTCATCTGCATCTTCCACAACACACCCCCTCCCCCAGCACAGGAGTGGTTCCATTCCTGCAGCAGCCTCTTGAGACAAGAGATGGGGATCCTGCTGCATTCATTCCACAGTTGGCAAAACCCACCCCAGGAAGGAAAGAAGGGGGATAGGGTGGGGGCAGGGAGCTTCGAAAAAGGAGTGAGGTAAAAGATGTGGAGCTGGCAGGTGCCTAGGCCAGGTTCCACCAGGCAAGGTTGGCGGGTTAGTGCAGAAGGGCACCAGAGGGCCTACTAGGCACCCCGGGGCTGGGCCTTGCTGCCCGCCCACTGAGTCACTGACCCCTAGGCCAGATATGGTAGCCCGCAGCCTGTTTGCATTTGGTTGCTGGGAGCAACGAGCAGGCTGGAGGGAGAGGCCCGCATTTCCTCCTTGCGCCTGGGAGAGGCTGCTTAGCCAGACAGACCTCAGACTGGGGCTAAAAATAAGAAGTGGGAGGAGACTAGGAGCAGGGGCGGAGAGGAGCCCACACCCGGATTGGGCAGCCCGCCTCACCGGCCCTCGGAGTTCCCCATCGCGAAGCCGGCAGGGGCACCTCCAGTGAGGGGGTGGAAAGATCTCGGGCCAGGGTACTTCCTGTCTCCTGGGGAACGCGCCCCCTGTGGCTGGGAAGGCCTGAGTGAGTGACAGGACTGGTCGCACCAGCCGGTGGGAGATCTCCCAGAACCTCCAGGTGTCTCAGGGCAGATTGGGGGTCTCCTGCGGCCACCCTAAATGGGAATCTCCACCGCACCCCAAACCTGCCTGCATCCTCCTCCCTCTCTCAGTTTCCGTTGTGTGTGTACCGGGAGTTGAATCCAGGGCATTCACATTGAGTTAAATATTCCCAGTCCTTTTTACTTTTATTTCATTTATTTTTGAGAGGATCTCATTAAATCCTAAATATGCCCAGGCTGGGCTTGAATTTACAATTAGCCTTCCAGGGTGCTGGGATTACAGGTACAGAATGTGCCATCATGGCCTGCAGCAATTCCATTATTTTTAAAATTGTATCACCAGGTATGGTGGAGGACTGCTTCAAGACCAGTCTGAACTATACACCCAGAACGTGTTTCTAAAATCCAAATACAGCCCAGTGTGGTGGTACATACTTGTAATCTCAGTACTACAAAGTGAGACTCTGTCCTCCCCCCCCCAAAAAAAACCAAATACAATAAATAATACGCATACATATGAATAATCTATATAATATGTACATTTGGTACAATTTTTTTTTTTTTGAGACAGGGTCTTGCTATGTAGTGTAAGCTGATCTTGAACTCAGTTAAGTAGCCCAGGCTGGCCTTAAACTCATATTGCTCCTCCTGCCTCAGCCTCCCAAGTGCTGAGATCACAGGGGTATACCACCACACCCAGCCAAAAAGGTTTACACATTTGCTCTGCCCTCTGTTCCAGCAAACCCTCCCATCACACTATGGTGTATAGTCCCTCTACCTCTTCCTCCATTCCTCAGTGGA